TTAGGGTAAGTGGCAAAATCTGGCTGTTCTCAAGGCGTGTGGGAAGATATGACTCGACGCAGAACACCGACGGGAAAAGGAAGAAACAGCTGTTGGACGCGTTGACTTATTAGTCCATCTACGTCTCCTTTGATGAAAAGGTCGGTGAGAGTTTGACGGATTTGTGTGTGTGTGGGAGGGGGGGAGGTAGGGGAAGGTGGGGGAGGGGAAGGGAGGGAGAGGGAGAGGAGGGAGAGGAAGATAGGGGAAGGTGGGGGAGGGGAAGGGGGGGGAGATAGGGGAAGGTTGGGGAGGGAAGGGAGGGTGAGGAAGAGGGGGGAAGGTGGAGGAGGGGAAGGGAGGGAGAGGGTGAGAGGGGGGGAGATAGGGGAAGGTGGGGGAGGGGAAAGGAGGGAGAGGAAGATAGGGAAAGGTGGGGGAGGGAAGGGAGGGAGAGGGAGAGGAGGGAGAGGAAGATAGGGGAAGGTGGGGGAGGGGGGGGGAGATAGGGGAAGGTGGAGGAGGGGAAGGGAGAGAGAGGGAGAGAGGGGGGGGGAGATAGGGGAAGGTGGGGGAGGGGAAGGGAGGGAGGGGGAGAGGAAGATAGGGGAAGGTGGGGGAGGGGAAGGGAGGGAGGGGGAGAGGAAGATAGGGGAAGGTGGGGGAGGGGAAGGGAGGGTGAGGAAGAGGAGGGGAAGGGAGGGAGAGGAAGAGGAGGAGGGAGATAGGGGAAGGTGGAGGAGGGTAAGGGAGGGAGAGGAAGATGCTAAAAAAGAAAGAGAGCGTTGGAAGGGATGTGACAAGGAACCGGGAACGGATGGGAGACAGGGGCGATGGGGGGGGGGGGTATGGTGAAAGGGAAAGGAAAGGTATATGAGTAATTAGAATCTGAGGGGCGAGGGAGAGGGTAGATGGGGAGGAGGGAAGGAGAGAAACGAAAAAATTGATTTTATCCTGATTATGGAAGAGAACGGAAGCTAGGTAAAGACGGCAACAATAACGACGATAGAGATAACGAATGATATTAATGATGATGATGATGATATTGTAGTAAGTATGGTGATGACAGAAACGAAAGTCGATAATGATAATTATAATGATGTTAATGATGATATAAGGATAAATGTCAGTAAGACTCATAATATGGATATACATGGGCTGATTAGATATCATTTCATCCTTATTGATTCGTCTTTGAAACGCGGGTGATAGATAGATAGATAGATAAACAGAGAGAGAGAGAAAGAAAGAGAGAGAGAGAGAGAGAGAGAGAGAGAGAGAGAGAGAGAGAGAGAGAGAGAGAGAGAGAGAGAGAGAGAGAGAGAGAGAGAGAGTATAAGAATACGTGATGTCACTAAAAGATTGAACATTAGTGATGAAAACTGGATGCTTGCCCGTAGACTTCTGATCACAAAGTGGGCTGCGGCCAGTTGATTTATTTGTTTATATGGATATGCTAAGCCAAGTTAGAGTCAACTTTGCTTGTTTCAAAATGATTATTATTGATATTATTATTTCTATAATAGTTTTCATTATTCTTATCATCATCATCATTATCATTTTTATTATCATTATTATTATTGTTATTATCATTATTATTACTATTATTATTATTGTTATTATTATTGTCATTACTATTATTGTTATTGTTATTATTATTATTATTATTATTATTATCATCATCATCATTGTAATTATTATTATCATTATCGTTATTATTGTTGTTATTATTACCATCACTATTATTAATATTATCATTATCATTATTATCATTATTTTCGTTTTCCTTACTGTTATTATTATCATTATCAGCATTAGTATTATCATTTTCACAATTGTTAACATTCTTTAATATTATTATTAACATTATTACTATTATCCTTCTTATTATCATCATCATTATCATTATTATTATTGTTATTATTAGCATCATTCATATTGTTGTTGTTATCATTATTATTATCATTATCTTTTTATTATCATTATTATTATTATTGTTATTGTTACTATTATCACTATTATTATTATTGTAATTGTTACTATTATCATTATTATTGGTCTCATAAATATCATTATTATTATTGTTATCATTATTATCATCATTAGTATCATTATCATTATTTCATCATCATTATAATAATTAATTGAGATATCGTTCTAATCATCATTAGGATAATCCTTACTTAACATTCAATGTTTAGTCGTGTTTCAGTTTGTTTCTAATTAGCATGAATTAAACTTATCCTTTCTATTTTTCTTTCCTGTTTTCATATTCATATTTCTCTAACTCAAAATACAAAAAACAAAGCAACAAAAAAAAACAGAAAAAAACAAACAAACAAGCAAAGGGCAAGAGACGTAAAACATACTTATTTTGTGTTAATCAGAGTATTGCGTTCAGTCAGAGGTATGGCTCGTTGCGGCATTTGTAAAGGTTGCGGCTTTGTCAGTTTTCGTTCTGATTAGTTTCTTTGTTCTAACTTTTATGATTTTGTTGTATGATCCAGATTGTGTTAATGATTTAGTAAGAGTTAGCATTTGTTTGCTAGTCATGATTTTTCGTTAACTCCATTGTTAATAGGATAATCATGATGATTTCTGTTGTAATTATTATCATTATTATTGCATTTATTATAATTGTTATTATTCATGTTTTTTTATCGTTATCATTATCATTAGATTTATTGTACCTAACCACTAAATTTACATTTCTAGACCTGAGATGAAACTGATAACTACAATACTATTTCCATGTCCATTAACGTACACAGTACCTTTGGGCTGTTTGTGGACCGGTCGAAGACGTACACCAGATATGAATATATACACACATATTAGATATTGATAATCAATCGTAATATTCATTACTGTGCGGTGGATTACACCAATATATATATATATATATATATATATATATATATATATATATATATATATATATATATATATATATATATATATATATATATATATATATATATATATATACAAGACAGAGAGAGAGAAAGAGAGAGACAGACAGACAGACAGAGAGAGAAAGAGAGAGAGAGAGACAGACCTACAGACAAACAGACAGACTAAGATCGACAGACAGAGACAGCTAGAGAGAGAGAGAGAGAGAGAGAGAGAGAGAGAGAGAGAGAGAGAGAGAGAGAGAGAGAGAGAGAGAGAGAGAGAGAGAGAGAGAGAGAGAGAGAGAGAGAGAGAGAGAGAGAGAGAGAGAGAGAGAGAGAGAGAGAGAGAGAGAGAGAGAGAGAGAGGAAGAGAGAGAGAGAGAGAGAGAGAGAGAGAGAGAGAGAGAGAAGGACAGACAGTGAGAATGATATACACACAGAGGCAGAAAAAGAATCAGAATGATCTGGAGATCCTTCAAGAATTGCCCCCCCCCTCCCCAGCCAAACTCCTTATGTCCCCCCTTCCCCCACTCCCCCCAGACCGAAAAAAGGCCACAAAACCCCAAATAAAATTCACATGACCAGGTCTCCTCCGTTGCAATTTGTGCGAGAGACCGAACGGCAACGCGACCTCAAACAGAAGCGTCCTCCCCCTCCCCTCCACCCTCCCCCTTACGTCTGGTCACCCCCCTACCCCCTCCATCCATGATTCCCCTCTTCCACCCCCCCCCCCTCTGACCTCCCCCCCCTTCCCTTTTTGAGAAGCCGCCTGAGAGGCCACGGGACCCTTAGACGACCTGCCGCCCGGAAGTAACCCTCGGATATTACTGGACATCTTAGAATTCTATTACACTCTTGAAAGTAGGCTTGACGACACACACACACACACACACACACACACACAAATACACGCACGCACACTCGCCCGTTCACACACACACACACACACACACACAAATACATGCACACAACTCGCACGTTCACACACACATACACACATAAACACACACACGCACAAACACACAAATACACGCACACACACTCGCGCGTTCACACACACACACACACTTGCGCGTTCACACACACACACACACATACACACACACACGCGCTCATAGATACGTACATATGGACGTACCTGCCCAAAGAGATACGTAGAGAGGCAGAGGGAAAAGGAAAAGAGAAACAGAAGGATTCGCTTTCACTATTTTGAGGGGGGGGGGGGATGTGGGGGGATAAGAGTGAGGTTCGAGGAAGGAAAGGGGTTCAAAGACGGGGGGGGGGGAGGTTCGGGGAAGGGAGGGATGGGGGGGAGGGAGGTTCGAAGGGAGAGTCAAGGGGGTGCACATACCTACATCTACAATCTAAAAATACACATATGTCTGTATCTGTAAAAATAGCTATCTGTCTCTCTATCTATCTATATTTTTGCTTCATCTTTATAATTAATAAGTAATCATCTACTTGTTTTTATTATCTGTTCAGGGGCCTAAAATGAAATGTTTTATATATATATATATATATATATATATATATATATATATATATATATATATATATATAGATAGATAGATAGATAGATAGATAGATAGATACATATATATATATATACATATATATATATATATATATATATATATATATATATATATATATATATATATATATGTATATGTATATATTTATATATATATATATATATATATATATATATATATATATATATATATATATATATATATATATATATATATATATATATATATATATATATATATATATATGTATCATTAGTATGATAGGTATATGAAAATAGGAATATTTACGTTTATTTGATAATTACGGGTGAGATGTTACGTTGCGCATCTCGAGTGTTTTTTGTTTACCCATGAGCCCACGTATGACGCAGCTGTGGAGGTTGACGCCTTGTGTGCGAATCCACTTCGCAGGGAATATTTTTGTTTCGACCTTTCACAGAAGTGGCAATTATTGTGCACAAATCTTTGTACTCATGAAGGTATGTTTAAGGATATTGAAGAGTTTCAAAGTAATATCAGAAAAGGATGATCATCATTAATATTGATAAATACACGGAACATGAGTTTATTGTGTTGGCGTTGGCCATAATTTAAGTGTTCACTTTTCATGGATTTCAGCCAGTGTTATGTCTAATGGGCTGTGGATATGGGTTTGTGCCGTAACTGAGATGTGATGACAACTACTGGGAATCATGGATTGTGATAGTGTGGCCATTGAAGTGAGTTCAATGAATATGTACAATGTATGATTTATTTTGTGATATTGTTACGCAGATTAGTTAGTTACGTCGCACGATATGTGTAGTGGCATTCCTTGTATTAGTATAATATTGTGATATAAGCAGTTCATTTTGTTTATTTGGATTGAATTGTTACTTTAATATTCGTTGATGTATGTATATTTTCTTTTTGTCACAAGATAGAATATTTATTTAGTTACTCCTTATTACCTGAATGTCACATTTCAGGTTGAAACTTTGCTCCAATAAAAGACTGTTGCAGC